CCCCATGGCAGTGGGGCTGGGGCGCACGGTGCCCGGCAGGGTCCAGGCACACCCCTCCGGCCGGCATGGTCCTACCTGGTCTTGCGGAGACAGCCACGCAGTGAGGGCTTGGCAGGAGGTTTCCGCTGCGCCACCTCCTCCAGGTCGGCCTCACTCAGCACCTTGTGGGGCACCCGGTGGCTCAGCACCATCTCCGCCGCCATGGCCGCCCAGCCCTCCCGTGTGCCAGCCCACTGTGGGGAGACAAGGGACAGCTCAGCCACATCCCCAAGGCCAGGGGCATCTAGCACCCTACCCACCCTGCAGTCCCTCCTGCAGCCCCACTCGCCCCACAGAGCCATCTCATCCTGGCCAGGTGTGCAGGATTGGCCCTGAGGCCAGGGGTGAGCCGAGTTTTGGGAGTCCTGCAGCAGCAGCTCGCACCGGAGAGCGGCAGGCAGCTGGCTTGTGGGCAGGGAGGGAGCCAAGGCCTCGGCAATCAGCACTGCCTGCTCCTGCCCCACGCCAGCCCCATCTGCCCTGCCGGGGTGCACGGGTGGAGGCTGCTGGCAGAGCTGCCTCCGGGGGGCTCCCCCTCCACCTGCCCACACAGAATACCCCTCGGTGCCAACCACCCTTCTCCTCCACATACCACGGCACAAGCCAGGGCAGCGGGCTACCACAGCCACCGAGCAAAGCCCCAGCCACCCCACAGCCCCGTCCGTAGACTTTGTCCCTTTACACATGAGGGGAGCAGGAATGTCAACTCCCGGTGAGCGTCACAGGCTCGCCATCTCTCTACCGGCGCCCTCCCCAGCCCCCTGCGCTGCAGAGCGGGCTGAGCCCACGGGCAGGGAGGAGCAGGGCTGGGACAGTGGGACTGAGGTGTCTCCACATGGATCTGCAGCCTGACCTTGCTCAGGGCTCAAGCTGAGAGGTGCCATCATCCCACCAGGCTCACCGAGCTGGTGGCCCCAGCCGGTCCTGAGATGCTCACCCACTTGCGACCAGATCCATGAGCCGCTCATGGAGTGCCCAAGGCTGTGCCAGCCCGAGTCCCTGCTTTCCCCACAGCCCTCCTACCTGCTGTGCTCAAGCTGGTCAGGTGCCGCCAGCCGGATGCACGCTCTGCTCCCTTTTATTAATACCTGCCTGTGATCTTTGAGACACCGCTCCCTGCCTCCTGCCCTCCCTCCTGCCCTGCCGAGAAGCTGCCTGCTTCCCAGTCCCGCTGCTGTGTGGCACCCGCCACGCTCCTCCAGTTCCCTGTTGTGCTGGGTGCCCTGGCTGTGGAAGGCCCAGGGCTGTCACTGCTGTCCCCAGGGCCATGCCATCCTGGGGACTGTCCTGGCCAGCCTCAGCCGCTGGCCCACAGCTGTGCCCGGGGTGCCGCCGTGCCCCAGCGCCCGTGCCAGGTGCAGGGCAGGGGTCTTCTTGCCACTGGGCACATCCTGGTGCCAACCTCCTGCCAAGGGCTGCCAGTGCTCACCTCCCCGGGGCACTGCTCGGGGTCCCACCATCACCCTCCTGTGCCCCCAGGGCTCCCACAGGTGTCCCCCTCACTGCCCCATGTCCCGGAGAAGGAGTCGTGCCTGGGGCAAGGAGGGTTACCCACAGCCTCCAGCCGTGGCATCTGAGGTATTTTCCACGGGCTCAGGCCCCTGCTTACTTGCTGGAAATGGGTGTGCTGTGCCCTGTGGACTGCCCCCCTCTACCCCAGCGCACAGACCCAGCCATTATCTTGTTCCAAAGGTCCCCAGCAGGTACCAGAGCTCTGCTGAACCCATCACAACTTCCTGGGCTCCGCCACAGCCTGGTACTGCTAGTGGTTTTGGAGCATTTCTGAGTCATGCTTGGCCCAGGCCTGCAGGGACACAGCAGTGGAAATGCAGGCACCCATGGGCTGGGCTGACTGGCGCCAGGGTGCAGGGTGAAGCCGGTGGGCAGGGCAAGGCAGGGCAGGCGCCTTGCAGTCCCAGGTGCCCTGGGTGGTGGGATGGGGCTGATGTGTGGCACGAGTGGTGACACCCAGGACTGTGCTCTCTGGGGTTAGAGAGACTCATTCCCGCCCCGGCTGGCTGGGTCGGGGGCAGCCTGTGGCCACCCTGGCTCTCCCCATGGTTGGCATGACCCAGGTCCTGCAGCAGCCACACACGGACTCCTCAGCTGCCTTTCAGCAGTGGGGCTGAGCCTGCTCCCCTCAGCTGCATCCCTGGTCCCGCGCTGTCCCACCCCCATGCCCGTCAGTTCCACCATGGCCAGGTAGTGGCACGCCAATGCCGGCACAGGCGTCCGCACGCAGCCGCTGCTTCCCCATCATTTATCCACTCACCTGACACCAAAGTGGAGGCTGTCACAGGGCTCCTGCTCAGTAGCAACTGATAGCACCAGGTGCCAATTTACTGCCTCCTTATCGCTGCTCCCGGCCCCCACCCTGCGCCACTGCTTTCTGTGCCCCAGCCTCCAGCCCCCCACCCGCGCCCCGGGCCAGCTGCTCTGCCCATGGCTCCCCCCCAGCT